GCACATCTTTCGGACTGTGGGAGGAAACTGGAGTACCCGAAGGAAACTCACGCAGACACGGGGAGAATGTGCAAACTCCACACAGAATGTTTTAACTTATATATTTACATGTCATAGTCCACATAAAGTCTGATGTTGTAATCCCCAGAAAGACTAATAACCTTAAAAAAAATCCACAAATTACCTCAACAGAGGGAACAAATGGACAGGATTTTACATTTTAACTCATTACTGGAGCAATCAATGTTAAAACTTATACAAATAAGAACATATGAGATAGAAGCTGGAGTCAGCCTCTCAACTGTTTCACTAGATCATGGAATATATTCTCCCTCCATCCCATTTTCCCACAATACTACCATTTCCTATGATTCCTTTATCTAAATATCAATTGATCTCTGACATGAATGTACTCAATAACTGAACCTTCACAGCTCCTTGTGTAGGATTGAATTATTTTTCAATCATAAATAACGTTGACTTAATTTAGCAAGTGAATTAAATTATATGCTGTTTAATTGTTGTTAGTGATTAAACAGTTTCTATAGGCAATTGATCATACAGCTCAAAAGTAAGGTTCAGACTATAAGGTGTAGGAGCTGAAATAGGCCATTCAGCTAATCAAGTCTGTCCCACCATTCAATGAGATCAGGGCTGATCTGACACTCTACAGCAAATAATCAGGAAAGCTCATCGAATATTACAGGTTATTGCGAAGGCAGCGGAATGAATGATCAGGGAAGTCATGCTTCAGTTATACAGGCCATTGGTGAATCCATATCTGGAATATAGTGTACAATACTGGTCATCATATTTACACAAGGATATTAATACATCGGAAGCAGATAACAGAAAGTTTACGAGACTAATACTGGAATGAGCAGATTGCTTTATGAGGAAATGCTAGACAGGCCAGGCCTGTAACCTCTCCAGTTCAGGAGAGTCAGAGGTGACTTTATTGAAACGACTGATAGAGAATCCTGAGGGGACTTGACTGAGTGGGCATTGAAAGGATGTTTCATCTTGTGGGAGAACCTAGCACTAGGGGTCATTGTTTAAATATAAGGATCACCCATTTAAATCAGAAATGAGGAAACATTTTTCTCTCAGAGGGTTGAGAGTCATTGGAATTCCCTTCCTCAAAAGGCAGTGGATGCAGTATCATTAAATACCTTTAAGACAAAGGTTGGTAAATTCTTGATTACCAAGGAGTGACAGATTATATGTGATATGCAGGAGTGAAGAATTGAGGTTAAAAATCACATCAGTCATGGTCTTAATGAATGGCAAAGCAGCCTTGAAGGGCCAAATGGCCCCACACTTTTTTGTATGTTTGTTGTTATAGACCGGGCTAGACCCCTCAAAGTATTTTAAGAAGGTAGCCTAGCCCTAACTTTTTCTGATTTTTAAGGCAAATGTGAAGTGCTGTGTTTCAGATGCAATGCGACTGGTTAAACTCATCAATGTTAAGCAAAACACAATTGATTCAAACACTGTCGTTAAAATACAGCAAAAGAAAGAGGAATTTAGAATAACAACCCTACTGGAGACTTAACTGAACAATAGATGCAGGAACTATTACTAATTAACTGTTCCAATAAACTCACACCTTGATAACAAAGGAAAATTCAGACACAGATTCTCACATGCAGTTCTACAATCTGGGAGAAAAAAAAATCAAGAGAAATTTCAGAGAGAGTAGCAGCCAGGAGACATTTCCTAAGCTTCCAACTTTGTTGAGACCCCAATAGCTTCTGATGCGACTGAGAAACCAAAACCCAGGAATCCTGACCTGTGAGAGCTGGTCACACCCATTCAGGCTGTGGGAAAAAAAATCCCAAGGCCTCCAAAGTGGTTTACTCAAGTGGTCTTAACTAGCCAGCTCTTTCTCGTTTATTCAGTCTCTCTCTTAAATGAAACCAGAACAAAATAACCTCTAAAAGCTGCGGCATAATCACATTCTATGTTTCGAAAATCCTCAATTCTACTTTCCTGTGTTTTCCCCATAACTCTTGTTTCCCTTACTATTTGAAACTTTGCCAATCTCAGCTTTGAACACACTTAACAACCCAGCCTCTACAGCATCTGTGATAAATCTGTGTTTCCACAGATTTACTGTTCTCTGAGAGAAGCAATTCCTCCTCATTTCTGTGAAATGTGTGACCACTTATTCTGAGATTATACCCTCTGGTCCTAAACTCTCCCACAAGAGAAAGCCTTTCCACATCGATCCTGTCAACTCCGCTCAGTTTCTTGTATGTTTCAATAAGATTACCTCTCATTCTTCTAAACACCATCGAGTATAGGCCCAACCTACTCAATCTCTCCTCACAAGAAAATCCTTCCATGCCCAGGATTAATCTAGTGAACCTTTGCTGGGCTGTCTCCAATGTACTTTATCGTTCCTTAGATAAAAGAACTGTTTGCAGTTGTGGAAGAAAAATTTTACATCGCAAGGGTAGATGGGAATTTAGACCAAGACAGAAATTACATCGCAAGGGTAGATGGGAATTTAGGCCAAGACAGAAAAGGCACCCTTGGGAGAAACTGATGGCCGAGAGAAAGAATTTTAATTAGTTAGCATGCGGGATTTTAATGAGCTTAGCAGAAGTCGGGAGGTAGTTACTCAGACTGTGTTATCACTATGTGCATATTATCTTAGCTAGAGTTAGAGAAGGATCTTTTGATATATTGTCACTATACGAAGGTTTTATGCTGAATTAGAGATGTCCCTTGTATCCATGTGGAGCCTAGTTACTGATAAGCTAGAGCTTCAATCAAACTGTATATCACTCCCTATGCTAGCTGCATGCCGAAGTTCATTTGAAGAAGTAATTATTAAGGTATCTGTAAGACAGCATTCCTGTTACCTTGAGCAGCGTCTGTTTTCTTTAAACTTACAATGAATGAATCGACAAGCACAAGATGTCACGGGAACACCCTGCTCTGAAGTTAGTGGTATAAAGGAGTTTGTTATACTCTGTATTAGCAGAGTTGGGTGCCGGTGGAGATCGACACTCACTCTCCTTGGTACCAAGTAAGAAAATAAACTGCTTCGAATGGGAGCTGGAGTCAAGTCTCATTATTAGTTAAGTAGAAATAAAAATTTCTACAACAATTTGGCACAGTTGGCACGATCCCACAGAACGGGATTCGGACGGACTCACCTGAGTGGAGACACTGGAGTCTGAAACCTCGACTGTCCAGCAAGGAGGGGGACAGATCTGAGCCGGTCCTAGCTGAAAGGGGGACCAAGCTGAGCAAATCCTAGCTGAAAGGGGAACCAAGCTGAGCAATTCCTAGCTGAAAGGGGGATTGCTCGGAGTTAATCCTAACTGAAAGGGGGATTGCTCCAGGCCGCCCACAGTCTAAGAAGACTGCCCGGCCAGTGACCTAGTCCGAGAAAACTGCCAAGACACCTGAGGGCTGAGGAACAGGGTGAGGGCTAGGAAGAATTGGGGGCCATGGGAAATCAGACTCAGACATCTCCACTAAGATGAATGATAACTCGACTCCAGGGCCCGCAACAAGGCAGGAAAACTGGTGAGCGCTCAGTGTAAATAGTGTTAATAAGGGGGTGATAGAGTAGTAGTGTCTTGTATAACCTTTACTTTCACAGGAAAGAGGTAGAGGAGACAAAGCCGATAGGAGAAGATGGGGAACAGAAGCAGTCGATCAGGTAATGCTGGTCCTGCTGACAAGCAGAGGAATGCTGGAGGTAAAAATAATGGACCGTTGAAGGTAGGACAGAAAACTTTAAAAAAGATAAAGAAAGTTAAGAAACAGCGATAACTATTGGGGGAACCCTTAGTCCCAGCAGGATCCCCAGCCGATACTGTAATTAAAGAAACTGGAGATGATCGGTATGCGGTTACTTTTAGTAGTGATTTATATGGGTTGGTCGGATGGACAGAGGCCTTATGGGGGAAGCTTTAATTTAAAACTAATTCAAACTTGGGAGGATGTCACACGAGAAGGGGACGGTGACCCAAATTGGGACGTGGACTATATGTTGGGGTGTTTTAAAAGGTGGAAGGAAGTGGCAAGAAGACACCAGCCACCAAAACCCCCCAAGAAAAAAGACCAAACAGAATCAGTGGCTAAAAAGGCAGTAGAAACCAACCTCCCAGTAGTGGGATTACATCCCCGCCTTCCTGCCCCGGCTAGCGCCCCTCCCCCTGGTGGGACGGAGCGGACAAATTGATACTAATTGCTGCAGCCCTACCCCCAGCCCACCGGGGCTCCTTGGCGCAGGAGGCTGTCGATGGAAGCGAGGAATCCCAGAGCACAGGGGAATCCGAGTCGACAGTTAGTAGCACTAGCGACTTCCGAAGACAGTCTCGCCGAAAAGCTAAGGATAAGACGAGGGGGGAGGGGGAGGTTTTACATGATCCCCTTATTATGATAGGAGATGTTCCTATACTAAAACCCTGCACTCTGGCAGAAGCCCAAGCCATGGTGTCTGAAGCACCAGACCCCTTAAAGAGACCCAATGCTTTT